GAGAGAGAAAGAGAGAAAGAGAGAGAGAGAGAGAGAGAGAGAGAGAGAGAGATTAGGTCCCCAAAATCTTTCTTCGGGGGGTTCCACCGGGGCCTCCGACAGTGCGAGATATGATACAGATATGAGCCGGAGGTAACGAACGATTCCCTCTTTTCGGCCCCCTTCCAACTTCTATACGGCCTAGGCCATCATTGATCACAAACTTATTCATGACAGTGGACATTTCCAATGGAACCCAGCGTTAGTACATGATTGAGCTTTATCTATCGTAACCAATCATTTGACCAATCAACAAACCAACGCTCTTTCATAGAATTACTGAATCTAAATTTTATCTAAATAGAACTAAAAGTAACTGTAAATAAATGAAAACTTCGAAATATTTTCTGTTTTTGATCGGCACTACTACAAAAATTGTTATATTATCTAAAGGTGTCATTATTAGATGTGATAAGTAACCGACTTACAGCCTTAAAATTCTTAGAATATGTTATCTGTGACGAATATGAATGTTTTTGCAACATTGTAAACAGTAATAGCAAAGACAGTATCATGAAAATCAGATGACAGTATTATTTTGAAAGTCTTAACACATTGGCATCGGATAACGTATATATCGGATAAAGTCATCCATGTTTTTTACTAGGGATGACGCAAAAATACGTCATTCAGATTTTCATTTATCTATATTAAAATAAATTTAAAAAAAACTATACATGTCAAGTTCTCTGCATAAATACCAAAATAGAAATTTTACGAATTGAAACAATTGTGTATATTTCCAACTTTTTTTTTTATCTCTTGATTATTGACACTGCAACTTGTATATACATTAGAGCGATATGGTAGAAATTTGACACTTGATTTTTTTCTGAATACAATCAGAAACGGCAGATATCCCTATCTCAGTCATAATCAAAAAATCCCAGTGCATTTGATAAGATAACCGTTCATCGACAAAACAAAAGTAACACTTTTTTATACTGTCATGGCCTCTGAACAGTTTTGCATGTTTGCCTCGCTCGGATGTGCTTCCCCGTGTTTAAATCATAGAAATCTTAAAAAAGATATAAAAATGAAGATATGAAAAAATTTCCGTATATATTCTTCATTGTATCCTATTCAATTTGTTCCGTGTACTTCAAAAACTTAATTCTCGATCAAAAATGAAATTTCAGTTTCTTACTGAATACAGCTCAAGCTTGGCTAGATCTCTGACATTGAATAAACAGCAACAATGGATGAACCAATAATTTCCACACTAGCACCATGTTTCAATCCACTGGAAAGAGTTTCAGGAAAAATGAAACAGCACGAACCAGTAAAAATTTTTAACAACAATAAGAATGTGTCAGATAAAGGTGCCGTCTATTATTCACATCATATACGTCGGGAGACTACTTATGTGTGTAAATATTGTAAAATTCTCCTACATCTTGATAATTCTTTTCAAGCATATCATACAAAGAAGAAATACTAACTATGACATGTTACTATAAAAATTAAATAAATTTTTTATTTTTAACAGAAGATGAAAACCTCTGATAATTGCATTTTAAAAAGTGTAGATTATGATGCGATAAAGTAAACATACGTCAAAATTTCCTTGAAAAGTATTATTTAGTTTAACCCTTTCGCTACGAACGTCGCCTATAGACGACATCCGCGTGACGACCTGTGTGTACGAGCGTCACCTATAGACGACATCCGCGTGACGACCTGTGTGTACGAGCGTCGCCTATAGACGACGTCAGCGTGATACCACTTGACCATGAGACCCGCGATGTTTTTATTTTTACGCATACTGCACATCGATCACACTTGTCTCATATCAAATGAAATATAAACATGCATTGTTTGGGAGCAATCGGGGCAAGAATCACGCTCTCCTTGGCAAGCTGTCAGTGGCAAATCGTCTTGAATATCAGTGCCGCTACTCTCCGACGGAGCACACTGCCGTAGCGAAAGGGTTAAAAGCTATAGCAATTTTTTCTAACGTAACACGATTATAACAAAACACGCGAAATCTGTCTGTATTCACGTAAAGTGCGGCTCCAAACGCCCCGACGACAATGTGTTAAAGAAAACAATGAAGTATAAAAGTAATTAAGCCAAAGAAAGAGTGCATAAATTTTATTTACTCAGCATCTAGTTTTATACATTATTTGTATTATTTTCTTATTTTTGAATTCTATTTTCAAATATGACAACTCGTTCAACAAAAAAGTTATTGAAAGAGATAACATAAATAAAGAATGTTCGGAAATCAATGAAGGGCTAAATTCTGAACCTAAAGATGATAAAATTTAAAATGGAGATTTTTGATATTAATTTTTTTTTGATATTATTTGATATTAATTTATCAGATATTGATAGTAACGAAAATATCTTGACATAAAGGATTGTACAATAACGATTGTACAAAATTCTTATGTTCTGAAAGTAGGAGTGACAGAAATGATGAAAATATTGAAGTGGCTTTTGATGGAAGTTAGACGATGATACTTGGTAAAATAAAAGGAGATTTGAAAGACCACCATTCCATCATCATTTCGAGGAGAAAATCTAATAGAAGACGCAAAATATTATGAAAGATCAAACAAAAGATATTTTTCTTTACAATTAATAATCGTATTACACATACGAAACTGTACAGAAATAGAAGCATTCCGAGTTTTAGGAACATTAAAGTTGTGTATATTTATTACTATTTATGTGTACTAAGTAAATAATTTATCTCTGGTATTTATGGAACATGAAATGGGGAATGCTTTTTTTCGAAAACAATGAATAGAAATGATTTCGCAGAGATTTTAAAATTTATTCGATTTGATAAAAAAAATTAGCATAGCCAACATTTATAAACTAATTTTGCCCTGGTATCGTATGTATGATACAAATTCATAGAAAACAGTCAAAATAGTTACAAATTCAATATGAATCTTATCGTCGATGAATAATTGTTTCTCATCAGATGTAAATTGACACAATCTGTGTATCTGTAAAATCTTTCTCAAGTTTAATTTATAAATTAAATAACTACAATTTATAAGAACAAACTGAATAAAAAAGTATTGATACTAATTACAAATGCTGTCCGAATTGAAAACGGAGTAATGAAAATATCTGAGATTCTGAAATATTATAAATATTATCAAACTAAATTCAGTGTAAATATGATTGATTAGATGACAGAAAAGTGTAATGTTAAATCGAAATCTTATAGATGGCCCGTTCAAATTTTTTTTAACATTCTAGATTTAATAGATATCAATGCGTGGATTTTATTACAAAGAAACGACTGGAGAAAATTTCAAGATAAGACTTTTCTTATTTCAATTAGCAGAAAAGCTAGTCATAAAATATCAAAATCTATGCGAAAAAGGAAAAGAAAGCATGCGAATATCAATGAGATTGTTAACAAATGAGAATATCAACAGATGTATGTAATACTTCACACTTGCGAAATGTGCCAAATAAAATACTATAAAGATAATAAGACCACCAAAACTTATATAAAATAAATATATTTACGAAAAATTTATAATAGAAAAACCCATAATCTGTAAAAAATGCAGTGACACATACAACAAAAGTAAAATATCTACTATCTTTTAGTGAAAAAAACCATATATTTGTTCTTTTCTCATTTTTGTTAAAAATAAAAATGGAAATACATAACTTTTTTATCACTATCTCAAAGTTCTCTTGTGTGCATTATAATATATAATTATTTGAAAAACAATAAAAATTACATTAAGAAACATTCGAGTGGTCGAGTAATGAATTCGCGAGAAATTAATAATCTTAACGTATGCATCGAATTTTGCATTAAGATAGCTACAGAAAGCAGGATATAAGCTAGTATTAGAACAATGCAGAGTGATAAAAAATTACAAATAAAAAATGAAAAAAGTTAAAAAAGTCACCACTAACAAAACAACACGGATTACAATTTGTTAAACATAAAAAGTGGAGAAAAGTAATTTTTCTGATCGGATTGTTTAAATTACTATTTTCATGATTCAAAAAAGAAACAAATCACATTACAGAAACGGCAAATGAAAGGTAATAGCAAACTATAATTTAGGTTAGACAATAAGATCTCGGAAAGACAGATTTAAAAATTATTTCAACGAAAATAAATAGCAAAACATAGATATGTGTCGGTAATTATAAAAGTGGTTTAAGTCAAGAATTTAAAAAAAATGAATTTATTAATTATTTCGCGTCATGTTCTTTTAAACTAATATAATTTCACATTCTTTTAAACTGATGTAATTTCTAAAAAATTGTAAAAATTGAACCGTTAAATTGAATTAGCTTGTTGCGTCGTTAAACAGAATTCAGTTGATAGTGGATTAAGTCAGTTGCACTCTCGTAAATTTATTATTTATGGAAAAATAATTATTTTACTATCAGGCAGCTAGAAAAGATATTATCGATATTTATTGTTCATAATAATTATTTTACGGATTTTTCTGATTAACAATTAATGTATGTATACGATACATAACTCAAACAATAAAATACCACATCTGAGATATTCAAATGTCATATTTTGAGCAGTTCATATTTTGATGAATAAATTCATTTTAAAACAAAAATATATTTTTTTAATTTTTCCCATGAAAAACGTTATTAAGCGTATTAAGAATATTGCAACTCAAAAACACATAATAGCTTACAGTGATGCATATTCAGGCCAAAACTGAAAATGTAAGTCATTTCTTTAAAAATCATATTTTCTTACAAGCTATACACAAAATTTCACAATCATAATAAATTCTTATCTTATAAGATCAAATATTTCCTAAAATAACTTTATTTCGTACTACAAAAATATTTTTTAATTCATTCAAACGCAAACCTTTAAATATCTCCAAACGAGAAATATATAACTTAGGCTACTTCCACAATCACGGGCACATATATATATAGACATCATTAAAGAGCAATTATCGAAATATTCACACAGCATACCTAAATAGAAATTTTTCAGCGAGATAATTCAAGTGTGTATATTGCAAAAATAGTAAAAATTTACTTTTAGAGTTTTCTCATAAGTAAGGTACCCGGATTTAAATATTATTGAAAATTGTTGGGGGATATTAGCAAGACATGTATATTCTAAGAGAAAACGATTTAATAGTATCGATAAATTAAAAATGTGTTTTGAGAAGAAACAGAAATATTCAAAACAAAAAAAAACAATAAAAAATTTATATAAATTGTTGACAAAGAGAAGTTATACAAAAAAAAGGTGGCACAACACACTATATAATTCTTATTTTCATAAATACTATAACTTTAAAAACTTTGTGAAAGAACGGAAAAATTGTTTTCTATAACAGGTATAATAATGTCACATATATGTTTCCTCACGGAGTGTATGTGTTTAGTATAAATGTCAGTGAATGTAATTGCGTGCGAATATGAATGTTTGTTTATATGTACGTGCATGTGATTAGTAATCCTATAACATTGAATGCATTGGATAATGTGTTGGCATGCCATAGCTAATGTGTTGGCTATGCTGAAGTCAGATCTACACATGGATAGAATTCAATAAATTAGTACTAGAAGTTTTTTGCAAATATCTTGAAAACTACTATCAGTTATATGTACAGGAAAAAGTTGTTTAAAATGTTGATTTCTACAATGTATTCAAAAATCATCAAAATCGGAAAGGAAGCTTTTCTACAATTTCACCGTATGTTTCTCCCTATTTCCTTTCAGCGTCTTTGGTATCATTATCACTATAGCTTTCCTCTTTCCTCTCTTTTTTTTATATAAAAAAACTGTAGTTTCTCTGGCTTATAGGAAGCTTTTGCTTGTATTACATGCATATCATACGAAAGTTTCCGTTACAGCTTCAATCATGTACTATTTCAGTCAAAACATTTT